AACAATACAAAAACATAATAATCATAATACTCAATTTCAAATATCCAAAAGAGGCTTACACAAAGCGTAAGAGGCTACCATTTCCAAAACAATAATAAAATTAAACAATACAAAAACACAATAATCATAATACTCAATTTCAAATATCCAAAAGAGGCTTACACAAAGCGTAAGAGGCTACGTCCTGAACAAAAAAGAATTAATACAAAAGGAAAAGATCTTTGTAGAAGGGTGAAGTGTTAGTACAAAGCTCCATCTTCACTTCATGCAAACCTCAATACACTAAGTCTGTTCACAAAATGATTTAAAGTCAAAATGTATCGGTAATCAAAATATTATGTCTCACTGTTTAACAACACTGAAACGTAATACCGATTCTCATAATACTCAATTCCAAATAAACACAAGAGGCTTCAACAAACCTTAAGAGACTATAGTGCAAACTAGAGAACCTCATATCATTTACCAAAATTAAAACAAATAGAAACAACATATTTACATCTTCAAGCTATAATTTACATCTTCACCCAAAAGTAACTTCCTTGGTGTTCCTCTAGATCGCACACATTCGGGGGATGGGCAAATATCCCTACTAAGTCATTGTGTCTAGACTTCAGTTGGTTGTGGCAGTCTGATCTGTAACAGGACAAAATCAATTTTTAAAGGCTGGCAGGAAGCAATGTCATGTGTAATGACTCAGGTAATGATGCAGGATTGAAAAAGTGGTGACATGACTTTGGAATCCATCCTCATCAACTAAATATGCATTAATAGTCAAGCTACAATTCGGCAAGACTTAAACAACGAACCAAAAGACTCATTTATACCTGCAAAAACGGCAAGGGGGATCTTCATGGCAATGACTATTACATTTTACTAAAATGTGCAAATGCCTGTTACAACGCAACAGGCTCTGAACCTGAAAAAAAATAAAAACATGAAAATAAGATTATTATTAAGAATAAAGTAGTTAAGGGGACACTGTGGTAAGACTACAGTTTATATGAGGAAAAGTTGACACAATGGTACTGTACGCAATGTGGGAACACACATGGGCACAAGTTCTGATGGGACTCAAACTGGGGATGGACTACACTTGGCCACCCCTGCATCATGATGAACATATCACTCACCGCCTCCTGATGCATGAATGAGTGCACACATTCCTGAAGCAAAACAAACATTTCTCGCAGACTGGGCGAGCTCTGTGGGCTGATTGAACTCATCATGGCCAAGGTTGGAGGGCAAGTGAGTGAGATGCTCCGCAAGTGTGGCAGCTTAGGCAAGGCCTCCGACAGAGCTCTCTGGGGCACCTCTATAGGACAAGCAGAGAGCACGGAATAGCAAAAAGGCAGAGAGAAGCCACTACAGTATATGACGCAATTTAATATGTAGTAATAGAAACGTACCTGCGTCCTGTGCCAACATGTTGAGCTTCACTTTCTCCAATGCCGAGTCATTGCATGCAACTGGAGCCATTGTTAGAGTCCTGACCACTTTCTCCTTAGAACCAGAAGTCTCCTCAGAATCGGAGGTCTCCTCAGAATCAGAGCTCTCCCGAGAATCAAAGGTCTCCTCTGGATAAAGTGAATACTCATGGAGCTACGAGTAAAAAAGGCAAATGCAGGATTAGAATCAATGTTGCATTCTCAGCAAGCACATCTCAGATAATGTATCACGACTTGGATCCAAGAAAAGACCCAGAAGTAAAGAAGAAATAGTGTCCACCTGCACAGCTGGTACTGTACACCAATGTACACCAAAACAGAATGTACCCCTGATTCTGAGCCCTACATTTGATTTAAAATAACAAATGTAATGCAAACCTGCGTTGCCTTGGCTAGGAACTGGGCAGTCGCTGAGATGGCACTCCGTGCGCGCTCAACATGCCTCTCTTCGATGACTGTCCCCCTTCGCTCCATCTTTATGGTTACAGACCTCAACTTGGGGCACTTCAAAAGAAGCTCCATATCCACTTGTGGGGGACATTCCAGCTGTTGCAGCTCACTTGCAAGAGATAGGATTGCCATGGGAGTGGGTATGCAGAGAGGCAGGGAAACCATCTGCAAAAGGTAACAGAGTGTAACTAGTTCTCAACTGAAACTGTAAAAGTAGCACTGACAGAAAGACCAATTTCATTTTTTAAGTGACACATAAGTTGACGAGGAAGTAATTGTATAGAACATACCTGGAGGGTTTTCCTGTGAGAAAATAAAAGGAACTGGACATGCCTATCTGGTTTACGAGTATCTGCGCGAAGCTCCTTTAAAGAGCTGACAGGGGCGCTGGGCGGAAGTTGACCTCCAATAGGTGGCCTGAAACATGGTAAATTTTGTTCTTGACACCCACCTTTCTATTGGCCACAATGGTTGTTGTCATGTCGACGAATGAACAAACTACCTGTAGTTCTGCAAGGATATTTCCCTGATCCTGGTGCCCTGCAGCATTTCCATAAAGGGGGCAAAGCTCATCGGTTCCCCATGCATGTGCATGTGGATACTTTCTAGGCTGCCCAGTTCCAGCTGCAACATGAAACATAAATATCAACGAACTGCTTTGTTCCAGGAATGTGACATCACGATAAAACAAATGTGACAGGATGAATGTCAGGTAATATTGACTACGGCTGACTGCCCACCTGACGTCTCAGAATTTGGCAACAGTCGATGGCGACGTTATTCCACACTGAAAATGACAGCCTCTTGGCAGCACAGAAGGTAGTGAGTAGGCCCGGTATCATACCTTCTGGCAAATTCAAACTAATAGTGGCCACAACTGGCGCCACTCTAAGTACGGCCTGCAAAAAGAAACAAAAAAAAAAAAACGACATAAAGCTGGGCACTGTTGCAATATGAAAAGAGTTTGATATTAAACTGACAGACTCCTTCTTAGAAATGATGTAGGTGGTTCATTAGGAATGTGAGTGGGAACACTTTACCTCAAAGAGATCTCTCTCTAGCATGACATCGACGATTGCCCTCTCCCTCCACACTATAGGGCTTGATCCCAATTTACGCCACCTCCTGCACACTCCTCGGACATGCAGGAGGTCTCTTTCAGGCAGGTAGCTGAAAATTTGAAATAACAAATTTGGTGGTACCTGGTTCTCCATCTAGAAAAATAGACAACATTTTATTAATAAAACAATTTAATATCCAATAAGTTAGTCACCACCAGCTGGACTCTGTTTCTAATTGTCTCAAAAGTGGTGGTTGCAAAAACTGATGGCTCCCTACCGACGATTTAAAGTTGATATTTATTTTTAAGACCAAGTGGTGTCATGACGGAAACCAGGAGGGTAATCTCAATGGCACCGCAGATCGGAAATCAATTAATTGCAAATAATTTCAGGGCTTTTCCAAGCCGACTTCAACATTTTGTTCATTCTGAGAACAGCTATAACACTCCAAAATCCTACAATAGTAATTGCTATGCATTTGTCGCGCTTGCCCTCCCTCCCCTTACATCGTCCGAATATTTACCTTGAATGAACCAGGATGAAACTTCTCGGCCGCGAAAGTGGAACGGGCTTCAAGAAATACAAAAAGTACAAAATACAAAAACAGCAGAGAGGGTGAAACCTCCAATACGTGGTGAATTCTTCAATACAAGTTAAACATGAACCTCCTCGCGTGAAGCCATGAAGCTTGAAGTCGAAGTCATGAACGCCCTCGAGTCACGGCCTTGTTGAGCCATACACAACACAAACACAACACACACACCCGTCGACATAACCTAGAGGAACTAGGAGGAGTATGGCAGGTCACACACTGCTGTCTTATTCCTTCATGAAAGAGGAACCAATTGATTTGAATGATGTTGTGACCTCGATCGGAAGCCAAGATTCTTTTAAGTGTCAGGAAAACTTTCCAGATTCTGAATTCCTTTGTTCTGACCGGGGAAAAGCAGAAGTACGTGTCATAGGTTATAAGTTCCATTTTTGGTGGCAAGCCGTATTTTATTTTTCTCTTACTTCTCTTCATTATTTCCTGTGTTTCTTCAGAGCACTGCGAGGGATAGCAACAAAGAAACAACAACAAAGCAAGAAACACCTCATTTTATGAGTGTGACACATGCAACGTCAGAGGCTGCATTCATGTTTGACAATTCTAAAGTGCACTGCCGTAACCTGGACACTCTTAACCTGAACACAATTTTGAAAGTAAGTATGAATCAGTCTATGGCCAGTTATTAAATCTAGTCAGATCATGAGGTTTCCTTATGCTACTTCTTGTCCGCCTTTACCCCTCAGATTGAAGAAATGGATACGGATGATTTCAAAGCTTATGGACGCATTCTCAATGATGACATTGGCTTCAAACAGCGGGTGAAAACAAATATGCTGCAGCTCCAGGGGCATAGACAGGAAGCAAGAAAATGTTCCAGAAATTTTCTTAAGCCCCGAGCAATGATGAAAATTGCCAAAAATTATGCAGAACTTTATTCCAGAGATGTTCTTCTTCCATCTCCTTACCCAAGATTCAGAGATTCTATAGTAATTCAATGCCCAGCTTGCACAATGCCAAGAGACCAGAGCAGGCATTCTGCATTTCTTGAACTTCTTCTTCATGTAATGGAAAGGCATTCTGGTTGCGCTGATTCAGTCTTCTATAAAATAGGACGGACATATGCGTCCTTCATAGAAGGCTTGAAAGTGAAAATCCTTAAAAAATTAAGGAATCGACAATCTAAAAGATTGAGTAGGTTGTAATTATTGACAGACGGATTGTGATTTTATTATTTTTCACTGGAAATCTGTGTCATTTAGACTAAGGCATTGCGCTTGTATTTGTACAAGCTTGAAATGTTATTTTGTAGTTACCTTGAGTAAAATTGGGGTAACCATAAAAATATTAGTACTAATAACCTTAATAATTGAGGAACGTTTCAATTTGGTTTGGTCAAAGAAGAGGTGTTGCCCTTGAATTTATTTCAATGAACTTAGTTCTTTAATATTTTATATTAGTTTGGAAGTACGGTGTGAGATAAAAGATTCTGAGCCTTGAATGATTGTGCTGGAACAATGTGAATAATGCATGACCTTCTCATTACTTGGTAAATTATTGAAATTTAATTCTAATTAATTATTTATTTATTGAATATTATGTTTTTTGTGTTTTGTGTCTTTCATTGGTTTGGGAGTCAACAGATTCCGAACCTTGAATAATTTGTTCTCACATTGTGAATAATATTTATATGAATCTTCCCTTAAATTGAAAAACGGATTAATGTTTAGTGGCCAGTCAACTTTTATTTGTGAATGTTTGAAATGTAGTTTCTGATTTGTGCACAACTCAGTCTAACAGAGTTGCTTGAATGACCCTTGTCATAGACCAAGGGATGGCCAATTCTTTCTTTATTGCTTCTAAAGTAATGTACCTTTGCAGACAACCTTAAGTGAAACTGTTACGGCAGTGTCAAATAAGTGGATGAACAACCTCCAATTTCTTGTAGTTGAGAGAGTGATTGCCCTTCTAATTATATGTTTATTGTAATGAACTTGTGTTTTTGGTGTCATTATGATTTATTGGTTTGGAAGTAGTGAGACAACATTGTATGAGCCTTGGATTATTGTGCTCTCACAATGTGATTAATACCTTCCTGTTGATTGAGAACCATGGTAAGTTTTTGCTTCGATTGTAGTTTGTGATTTGATCACACTGTGTAAGAGAGCTGCTTTAACAACCCTTGTCATGGAGACAAGGATGACCTATTAGGTGTTTGGGGTTTTGTTTTTTTTTTTAACGCAAGATGCCTTTGTAGACCACTTGGAGTGAAATTATTGTGGCATTGAAAAACATGCGTATGAATAACCTTAGTAATTGCTATATGTTTTGATTTGTTTTATTCCAAGAACGGGTTGGACTTGTAATTATTTATTTATTGTGATGAATTTCATGTTTTTTGTGTTTTTGTCTTTCATTGGTTTGGAAGTAGTGAAACTACAGATACCGAACCTTGAATAATTTGTTCTAACATTGTGAATAATATTTATATGAATCTTCCCTTAAATTGAAAAACGGATTAATGTTTAGTGGCCAGTCAACTTTTATTTGTGAATGTTTGAAATGTAGTTTCTGATTTGTGCACAACTCAGTCTAACAGAGTTGCTTGAATGACCCTTGTCATAGACCAAGGGATGGCCAATTCTTTCTTTATTGCTTCTAAAGTAATGTACCTTTGCAGACAACCTTAAGTGAAACTGTTACGGCAGTGTCAAATAAGAGGATGAACAACCTCCAATTTCTTGTAGTTGAGAGAGTGATTGCCCTTCTAATTATATGTTTATTGTAATGAACTTGTGTTTTTGGTGCCATTATGATTTATTGGTTTGGAAGTAGTGAGACAACATTGTATGAGCCTTGGATTATTGTGCTCTCACAATGTGATTAATACCTTCCTGTTGATTGAGAACCATGGTAAGTTTTTGCTTCGATTGTAGTTTGTGATTTGATCACACTGTGTAAGAGAGCTGCTTTAACAACCCTTGTCATGGAGAGAAGGATGACCTATTAGGTGTTTGGGGTTTTGTTTTTTTTTTTAACGAAAGATGCCTTTGTAGACCACTTGGAGTGAAATTATTGTGGCATTGAAAAACATGCGTATGAATAACCTTAGTAATTGCTATATGTTTTGATTTGTTTTATTCCAAGAACGGGTTGGACTTGTAATTATTTATTTATTGTGATGAATTTCATGTTTTTTGTGTTTTTGTCTTTCATTGGTTTGGAAGTAGTGAAACTACAGATACCGAACCTTGAATAATTTGTTCTAACATTGTGAATAATATTTATATGAATCTTCCCTTAAATTGAAAAACGGATTAATGTTTAGTGGCCAGTCAACTTTTATTTGTGAATGTTTGAAATGTAGTTTCTGATTTGTGCACAACTCAGTCTAACAGAGTTGCTTGAATGACCCTTGTCATAGACCAAGGGATGGCCAATTCTTTCTTTATTGCTTCTGAAGTAATGTACCTTTGCCGACAACCTTAAGTGAAACTGTTACGGCAGTGTCAAATAAGAGGATGAACAACCTCCAATTTCTTGTAGTTGAGAGAGTGATTGCCCTTCTAATTATATGTTTATTGTAATGAACTTGTGTTTTTGGTGTCATTATGATTTATTGGTTTGGAAGTAGTGAGACAACATTGTATGAGCCTTGGATTATTGTGCTCTCACAATGTGATTAATACCTTCCTGTTGATTGAGAACCATGGTAAGTTTTTGCTTCGATTGTAGTTTGTGATTTGATCACACTGTGTAAGAGAGCTGCTTTAACAACCCTTGTCATGGAGACAAGGATGACCTATCAGGTTTTTGGGGTTTTGTTTTGTTTTTAATGCAAGATGCCTTTGTAGACTACTTGGAGTGAAATTATTGTGGCATTGAAAAACATGCGTACGAATAACCTTAGTAATTGCTATATGTTTTGATTTGTTTTATTCCAAGAACGGGTTGGACTTGTAATTATTTATTTATTGTGATGAATTTCATGTTTTTTGTGTTTTTGTCTTTCATTGGTTTGGAAGTAGTGAGACTACAGATACCGAACCTTGAATAATTTGTTCTAACATTGTGAATAATATTTATATGAATCTTCCCTTAAATTGGGAGATAGGGTAATGTTTAGTGGCCAGTGAACTTTATTTGTGCATGTTTGAACCGTAGTTTGTGATTTTAGCACAACTCCGTCTAACAGAGTTGCTTCAATAACCCTTGTCATACACAGAGTGTTTAAAATTGTGTAATCAACACTCAGATTGAAGTTATCATTATCTCACTCTTGGGACAGCATACAGATATTTTTATGCCAGTTTGATCTTTAATTTTGCGACTCCAGAAAGGTATGTAATTGTGCCAATACCCTCTGGCCCAGTGCACTTAACTGCGGTAAATTGAATAAATTCTTCAACATTGCTGACTGTTGGAATATTTACAGTTGATTTCAACATATAAACACAATGTTGCCTTTAAGGTAAATAAAAACGTCTTTCTTAAATCGAGGAGAGTATGAGGAGAGGTGGGGTACCTCCCTTAGGGCGTTGGTTCATGCAATAAAAAGGCTTAGCTTAATGTAATTATGAAAAGTTTAATACTATCTCTTATGTCGTATAGTGTTTCTTCAGTAAAATCAAGTTGTTATGCCATTTGGATAAAATAAATTCAGAATTGAAAAAATGTTGCATTATTATAAGTATTGAAACAGTTTGATACTTTCTCTTATGTCATGCAGTGTTTCTTCAGAAACATCAAGCTGTTATGCCTTTTTGGATGAAATAAAATTGCAATTGAAAAAAAGTGTCATTATTTTTATAGGACAAATAGGGTACACTTAAGTGTTGAAGCAAATTTGGAACTTACTTAATGAACACAATGCACAATTATTCAAAACAGTCGCTCGAAATCAAATTGTTGGTTGATAACACTAACTATCACGTGACCAAGCCACAATGGCATTGATTAAGTGGGTTCTGATATTTAGAGTGTGTTCATTTTGTTCAACGTCAGTAATATTATAACGTGAAAGAGAAAAGTTGTTTCCTGATGGTTTGTCGGTCTTCCAACTGATTTTGTCATAACTAGAATGCACTTCTGACTTGAGCAAGTCATCGTAACTCTGTGGAACCTTGATACCCTTTAGGTAAACAACCTGGTACTTCTTGAAGGCAGACATTCCTTCATCTAAAAATTGTTGAAAAACTGCAACCTTTTCTTCTGTACTTGCATCAGGTGGAAGCAAAGTAGTGTTCCTAAATGAAATGAATTAAAATGAATTCAGGGGTAGTCTGCCCTGTTATAATGCAAGCCACTACATGAACCTCTAATGGTGATATAGAACTTACGTTACTTCAAAAAATTTGCAGGCAGGAACCACTTTGTAGTTGTGTGAGTTCAATGAGTTGAACACATGGTCAACTTTGTCCAGATGCTTGATAAAGTCTTTAGGGTCTAAAGGCGTGTTGACATTGTTTGGATCAACACCCATTTCTGCACACAAATCAAGGGAGTGCCTGAGTGCCCAATGACACTTAATGTTTACCTTCTTGCCCTGTAATGGTGCGAGATTCTCACCACAGTATGTACAATATCTGTGACTGAGGATACATGCGGTTTTAATAAGTGGTCTTTGACCGCCCACTTTACGTCTCTTTGATGGTGGATCATCATGTTCTTCAACCTGCCCGAGATCTTCTGCGAGAAGGCTGGGAATAAAAGATGACCCCTTCTGCAGCAATTCTGAACAACATAAAATCTGAAATATGAAAATCAAATTAAGTGTGGTGCCATCATCAGGATGATGCCTTAAATTCAAAAATAAGAATGAGGAACAACACTTACTGGCTGCCATTCATTTTCAGGAAAAAAATTTGGACACCTCTTGGCTGCAGGATCGAAATTGTATGACCAAAGGACTTCTTGGCCTGGTGAAAGCTTTCTTTTAGGTCCTTTGCACACTCCCATTTTGTTCTTGTTAGGCTCTTTCTGTGAAATGAGACGCCTGCAGAGAACTCTGTCCACCTTGTCATAATTGGCTATGCTTATTGGGCCACCAAGGTACACAGGATACTTTTCTTCTCCGGTTGGTGACCTGAGGTACCTGTGACCAGTAGGACACATATCTGGAGACGGAACTCTTGCCAACCAGCCCAGAGTCAATGGCTTCTTTTCAGTGAGTACCCTATAAAAAGCGAAATCACTGTCAAAAACAAATACTGAATGAAATAAACAGACTAGGAATGTTTCGTTATTCAAACCTGCCAAAGGGGGACTGTTCCTCTCTGAAAAATAGGCCCCAACCGTAGGGTCCTTTTTTAGCAGTAAAAATGTGGGAAGCTGTAATCCACATTTCCCTCACTTGGTCCTTCAATTTTTGAAAGTCATCAAATCCCATCTCTGGGAAATTCGGCATATTCTTTGGCATAGCCTTACACCTTCTTAGTGGCAGATCCATAATAAAGTGCCCAAGCCACATGTCATAATGCCATAAGTCATTTAACTGGCTTGTGCTCATAACGTAACCATGAGCATTATAGTCCGTCATTGTTTCGGAAGATAATCACAATGAATTGAGAGAACTAAATGCCCCTTTTGAAGTGAAGTGAAAAAAGCCAAACAGCGCCCGAGCAAACAAAACACGGTAGTCAAAAATATATCCACATTGAACACCTTTGAGGAAAAAAAAAACAAACAACGACTTCAACTGTATTACCGGATGGAGCTTTAAAAGCAACGTAAAAAACTGAACAAAAGGCAAAGCGAATGGAGAAATCAAACAATTTCGGACACTTTTCTAGAAAATTTTCAGTTTTGCGTTTTATGGGTATGGGTTCGGTTGGTAATGGGAGGCTGTGTCTATTTTGCCAAACCTACGCCGGCTGCTTTCTGCTGTTGCTTATGTTCTGAAGGGTTATCCGTGCATTTTCGCTGTGTCCCGTCAATGTAAGTTGCAAAATTAATTCTCTGGTGGATAATTAAGATTATTATAAATTTCATGGAGTAAACTGATATTTGAAACCTTTTTTTTCTCATTTCAGCGAGCAGAAGTGGAAATTCCAGCTCTAACCTGCACTTCTGCTACGGCTATTTCTGTGAGGAAAGGCATAATTTTGGTACGTTATGCTTTCCGTTCAACATATTAGCATTGACGTTGACCTTGATTGGAAATCCGAATTCGTGCCGTGGCTGGAGGCTCATGAACAGCAACATTTAGGTGTTGAAGATGGAGCTTTTCTTGTGGGTTGAATTTTTTTTTACACCATTTGCCATCTGATGTTTATACAGTATCCTTATGCTCTCCCTATGCTGTTACGTACCTTCTCCTTCATTATAGGTCACTGTGGCCTCTTCTCTACGAGTTCTACAGCCAGATGGTGAAGGCCCTTTCATTAAGGAATGCCTTCGTACTCACCTAAGTTCTTTGCAAGTCCTGACACTAAAAGAGTTTCAGCAGAAAGGAATTTATGAATTTTCTGCTACTCAAAAGGAAGATTTAATAGGGGGTTTCAAGAAAATTATGCAGGATCTTAATATCTACAGAAGTGATACATGCTGGTGAGTAATGTTTTGTCCTATGCCTTATTTTCTCTAGCCTCCGCTTCGGTTGTCTGGATCCATGAATCTATTTTTTCTTGCTCACAGCACTTCGGTTTTAAAGCAGTGCAAGGATATAGAGAGTGTTTTTAAGCATCTGGACTCTGATGTCTGCTCTAAGTATGCTTTTGTTGATGAAGAACCTGACTATGGAAGTAGAGTAATGCTGGATGAGTCTGGGATCAAGACTGAGCAATTATTTAACAAATACAGCAAGGATTTGGAGGGTTTCCCCTGGCGTGCAAGGCAGCGTAATCCCCCTGATAATTGCCCACAATCAGAGTGTACACCAAAAGATGATGACATTGAAATTGAAACCCAAAGAAGAAAGAGATTTAAAGGAAGAAGCCTTAGTGAAATAGTTGAACCAATTTATTATGGATATGGCCTTGAAATGGATGACAGAATGATACAGATAACAGCCAACTTAAATTTGAGTAGAATTTTCAACATCCTTTGGTTGCTTCCCATCCACTACCCTGGTTTGCATTCACCATATTTGTATTTTGGGACTACTCATTCCTTCTTCCCGGTGCATGTCGAAGATGGTCTTACTTACAGCTTAAATTATCTACATGTGGGGCATCCAAAAGTCTGGCAAGTAGTCCACAGAGCTAACCATAACTCATCTTCTTTCCTTTATTTTTTAAGTAATATTTTACTGTGCTTCTTTGCACCAGGGTCATTATTCCACCATGGGCCACAGAGTTGCTGGAATATTATCTTGCCAAGTGCTGTGTGTTATTATATCACACATCATGCAGAAATATACTTGGGCACAAGTGTGTGTTGCCCACATTAAGCTGGCTTCAAGAGCGAAACATACCTTTTAAAGTGGTGGGCAGAAATGTGTAAACATCCAGAATTGTGATTTTGTGTTTGAAGTTTTTTTTGTTTAATATATTAAAACTTTGTAGGTCATTCAACGCCCAGGGGACCTGGTAGTGCTGTATCCAAGCTCAGCACATTTTGGGTTCAATTTGGGGCCCAATATTGCCCAAGCGGTGAACATTGGAACAAAATCTTGGATTCCATGGGGGATTAACGCCAAGAAATGCACATGCTTGTAATTATATTTTTCACATATAATGACATGTGAAAGATCATAAACAATTTAGTGACATTGAATGACATTGTTACAGCAAACCTACACATCAGATGCACATTGACATGGCACCATTGGTCACAGCCTTCAGAAAGGACCTGATTCCTCATTTAATGACTGGTGGTGTTGTACTTACACAAGAAATGGCCAGAGGAATGAAACTTGTCGCTGATGCCGTTGTGAACTGCTCTTTAGTGGTATGTGGAAAAGTCACCATGGAGCATCAGGTTTGATGTATCATTACTACCTCATGTTTTCAGTTGGCTTACGGGTTTTCTATTTTTTATTACAGTGGAAAGATAAAGCATCACCGATAGGAAATGCGCAAGGACAGAGACTTGTCCCATTCAAGTGCCCAGTGGATGCATGTGAAAAAACTTTTAATGATTGTCCAGTGGACACTGCCAAGAAAAACATGATTAAACACGTGAAAAGTATTCACAGGCCATTAGTAGACAAATGCCAACTTCTCTTAAAAATTGACCAAATATTTGATCCTGTTCCTGTAAAGTGAGGAAGGTACATTGAATTTTGAAATATTTGTAGGTGATTAAATTGTTAAGTAAGATTAACACTGATTATCTAATGCCTTGATTGTGCCCTGGACTAAACATCCCTCACTTGAAGTCATATCTGTGTGCTGCATGCCTTCAGGGCTGTAGCTTTGCCCATTATTGTGAATTGAATTTGTTGTACCTGCTGACTGAAGCATATATCTCAAGAAATCACAAACTTATAAAATTGATTTGTTGTATTCTGACAGGGTGTATGAAGGATTGTGAAATTTTCATTCACAGTTTCTTTTTTTGGGGGGGCATTTAAATTTACTGAAGCCCCATCCATGCCGCATTTTATCGTTTTAGGGGGGTGTTGCTGGCTAGGCTAGTCTATCGATATATTGAACGCCATATTTCGCATATTGGAAGTGCTCTATGCGAGGTCGGTTACGTTCGTTCGACGTTCGACGCTCTCTTTCCAGTTCCAGTCTTTGGTCCTATCGGTCAACCTACTATAATTTCTGGTTCTGGAAACTTATCACCAGAACAGAAGTATCACAACGTACGTTGATGTAAGTGTTGGTTTCGAGTCTCGAATGTGACTAGGGGCTTCACCAAACAAGCGCGGACAAATTGTGGTCTTGATATGCTAACTAGCCACCTTCGTTGAGGTTAGATGCCCACAAATAGAGAAGGATCCCCAACAAATTTTATCTGCATTGCCAAATGCCGTCTGTCGCCCGCAGGGCCGACGGTAGAAAGGACCACCTGGGCCCACCGAACTGATCAATGAAGCGGAAGAAGGGGATAGCATTCAATTTTCATCATTTTTCAGGAGGTACAAAAAACTGTTTTGCAGGGTGAACTTACTGAATCCACATTTTCGTCAAAAAAAGCCTTAGAAATAACTGAAAATTTTCAAATGTGAACTACTCTGTAGACGGTTCCTGTGATATAATTCTACGGAACCATTGTTTACTAAGTTCTCCCAAACAAGGTGGAATTTGGTGAGGTCTGCGCAGTCTGTATGTCTGTGGTAAATTTTGGAGCTACCTCTCTTTTTGATTGTCTATGCTTTTCCAACTAGTGCTGGGGAGTTGAGTTGATTCTTTTTATATTAAACTAATAAAGACGTCACAAGTTGAGTTATCTCCTTTTGCCATTTTTCCCAATGGAGTTATGTGGATTTCGGTTGAGTTCCCTCCGTGAAAGGGGTCAAGTTGAGTTATATCCATTTTCCAAGTGGATTTTCTCCGAAACTGTTTGGAATTTGGGTCAAAAAATTTAGTGTAAAGATGCAAACCATCCTGAGGCATAATTATAAGATAAATACTCAATTTAGATATGTCAAATTATTCCCTTTTTCCGCTTCCTGGATCAACTGAGCTATGCAATCGGTTGCATATCTGCAGGGTGCCGGGCGGTCTCGGGGATGCGCGTAAGGGCAGGTCAGCCATACTGCAAGGCCTTTTTATTTTTGGCAGGCCTGCTGGGACGTCAGTACAACCGTGGCGTTACATTTTTATGTACTTGCAGATGGCACAGCGCTTCCATCTTCGTCCCGGCCTCCAAACACCACCGACTATGCCGCACCCTCCACCCTACTACCCTATTTCCCTCCATCAACCTGCTCCACCTCCACCTGGTTACCCTCACCCCTACTTCTACCCACATTATCACCCTGGTGCGGCCGGCTCACCACCCATCATCCGCCTTCCCCACCCTTCGGCAAACTATCCCAGTCCTACTCTTCCCCGTTCAACCCGCCCAAGGCTTTCCCACCCACAACTCATACGCCCCAACCCTTCAGTCCGTCCCAGGCCAACTCCTTCCACAGTCCGTCCCAACCAGCCACGCCCTGGTCTTCCCTCAGTCCGTCCCAACCAGCCACGCCCTCCCCCAGTCCGTCCCAACCAGCCACGCCCTGGTCTTCCCCCAGTCCGTCCCAACCAGCCACGCCCTGGTCTTCCCCCAGTCCGTCCCAACCAGCCACGCCCTTCTCTTCCTACAGTCCGTCCCAACCCGCCACGACCTACTCTTCCCACAGTCCGTACCAACCAGCCACGCCCTACTCTTCCTAATCCATCATCCAGCAGGCCAGTCTCGAGTGACCCACCATCACCACCACGCCCGAACCAGCAGCTATCGGTCCAGCGGGAGCGGGATGACTTCGAGCAAGTGCGCATTCGTACCCCATCAAGCAGTTCTGGCCATGTAAGTTACAATAATCAAAGTTTAGTTACCACAAAAACCGACGCGTGGGTGGACAGAGCACCAAACGGCTGCAAGTGTTTGGTCCATAGCAGTAGCTGGTTCAGCGTTGGTTCAATCGAAGCGCACGTTAGCTTTCAGTAGCGTGGATAATGAGATGAGGTGGAAAGGTAAAACGTCGTCGTGCAATCTTGCGTCCTTGCAATCCTCTAAATAATTAAGACTGCAACTCACCCAATCTCCTTCCCGGCATCTCCACGACTTGAATAACATGCCCCCCTGCTCCTTAAACCAGTAAAAAATTTCCTCACGAAATGAATTTTGTCTTTTCAGTCGGAACCCCAGGACACTTTTGACTATGTGGACTCTGACGATGAGGATCCACGTAATCCGTACAGGGTGCCACATGACGACGCAGGTCGCTACGGTCAGATGGAGGACGTGATAACGGACTCGCCGCCGCCGTTCGCACCAGTGCCGGTGCTGCTGCCTGTGACGCCTCCTTGCAAGTGTCCGAAACCCAAGAAGTGCAGGTCTTGTCTAATGGACGATCCCGTGTACCTGATCGAACCCTGCGCTGTCTTTGGAATATGCAAGGATTGTGAAGATAACCTTAAGGATCAGTACATGCGCTGCCCGGGGTGTGGCACAAGACATATTATCAGACCACGCCATATATATGTCTAAATTTACGTTACCAATGCTTTTTTTTCTTTTTTCTACATTAAACTTGTATTTGTGCCATTTTTGAAACGGAATTTGAAGTATCCTACTGTGGTATGTGATGATTAATGTTCTTTTAAGACTTAAATGTGTGTCAACTTACGTCGATTTGTACTCTTAAATGTCATCAGGATCCATCAAAAATTAGTTACTGACTATACTGTGCCTGATTCTGAGACCAGTTTTATAAATGACTTTTAATTGAATTGCTATTTTGATTTTACTTAGCTCCACATTATTGGCAATGTTCACCACGCACAACAGTACGAACCATTTCAGTCATTGACTCCCACCAAACTCTTTTCTTCCCTGTGGACTCCCCTCATGCTGACAAACCCAGACTGGTACACAATTTCCTTAGGATGACAGTGAATTCTATGGTGAATTCAACAAGGTTGGAGGAAAGGAAACACAACATACCACTGAAACAATCAAGATGAGACTAGAATTTATTTCTAGGATATTTTAATTTTTTACACTTGTTAGACCAGACACTTCAAAAGAAGCACTAATTCACAACCACTAACAACATGTAAATTCTTTCAAAACATGAAAACACGAGGAAGATCTCTAAAAAAGAAATGTTACAGCGATGCTGGTTTTGTAAGTCATAAAATAAGAGGACATGTGAAGGACACAGGAGTGGTCACGTGTGAAGTTTTAATTTACAGAGGTACAGAACGACCAGAATCGCGCTTTAATTAAATGACAGGGCTGGAGGCAAGGAAGTCCCTGAGCAGCAGAATAGGGGAAACACTTCAGTGGAGGTTATGGACAGGGGAGTCGTGCTTTGATCTGCAGGACAAATCAATATTAATCATGACTCTTTCAGTACAAAGGAGGCCGCGTAGGTTGGTCCTCAGTTACTTTACATCGGAAATCATTTCGTTTGTCGAGGACGTTTCAAAGTCTCCAGCGTTGTAGGGTTGTCTGCTATGCCTCGGTGGAGACGAAATCCAAACATCAACAAACCACCACCACCCCTTCCCATGCCCCTTCAGTTTCCGAGGAAACTCGAGTCCGTTGTCGAGTGTCCGCGGAAACTCGGGAGTTTCCGGAGGAACTGAGGCTGCAGCGACTTTCCTGTCTCCACGCGATGAAAATCCTAGATTTTTGTTTTTACGATTTCAATTTATTTTCCCTATTGTTTCGGTTATTCTTAATAATACGCTGGTATTACCAGAGATAAATGCTGGTATTACCGTCGATCATGGTCGATCCTCTTAGCGCGCGACTCTCTCGATAGTATCGAGTTTCGAGCTCGAGCCCCGGGCCGGGCCGCGGTGGGGTGGGCGGCGGCCGGCGCCGACGGAGTGGTTGTTTGGTGGTTGCTTGGAGTTGGAGTTGCTACGAGAAGAAGGTTGTTGAAAAACTCTCTAGTCCACACCCTTACGCTGGCGAGCGTTTAACGCATTCTGAGGTGAGCTTTGACATCAGCCTGCCTTCCAGGCTTTTTAAAGATCCTGACGAGTACGTTTATTTAGGGCTGCGTTTTGTTTACTTGTTACAGACCATGGTTAAAGTGGCGGTCCTTCGAGGTTATCAGAAAGGTTCAAAAATCCTTAGGGGACGGGATGCGCATCTTTACCACTTCAATCGGGTAATGGATGGTGGCAGACTGAGCTTCAGATGTTGTTTATACTACAAGCAACAGTGCCGAGGAAGATGCTCTCTCTCTCCGTCTGGTCGAGCATTTCTGACGAATAGGAGGCATAATCATCCACCTTCAGACAGCTCCGTCCTTTTGCGCAAATTTAGGCATATGGTGCTCCAGCGGTGCCGTTCCAAAGATACAAGCTCATACAAGACTATTTATCATGAAGAAAGGAGAAAGCTTAAGTGAGTATGCTGAGCATGCTGTATTTAATCTGTTCATTGGCTCTTTGGATATGCAAATAGTAAAGAACAGCCCGATAGCT